AGTTTCTATAGCGCTAAAGACCTTGGGTGCTGTGAAATGATCCATGCTGGAGAGGTCTTATCAATGCTCAATGCATCAGAAAAGTTTTACTGATGTCTCCAACCTTACTGCACATGTGAAAGTCCACAGAGAGAACTCACATTCATGCACTGGTTGCTGGGGAAACTTCAGTGGGCATTCAGCTTGTAGGGCACATGATAGAAAAGAAATCATATAATGTGGAAATGTAACCACGAGGGGAAGGATTAATTCCTTCTGTCCCCAGAACAGAATTCACACTGGAGGAAAGCCATGTGTGTTAAAAACTTTGGTTGGGGCCCATGCCTTATGGCCTGTTAGAGACATCAAAAAGGACGGAAGCCATATCAGTGCTCAGACTATGGTTTGGGGGCATAGTTCAACCTTTAGAGTATGCAGGAAAATCCATTCAGCAGAGACGAAATCTATTGAAGAATTCTGACAGTGAGGAAATCTAGAAAAGGTTACCTGAAGTTCTGAGAAGTCCGGTGAAATCGACAGACTGGAAGCCCCTAAATGCTTACGATGAGAAATACTTTAGTTCTGAGCACAGCATTTACTAAGATCTGAACATTCACGTGAGAATGAAAATTTAAACCATAAGACTGGAAGGAAAACAAAGCGAGAAGGGGTTATTTGTCGTTAAGCAATGTATACCAAGGAAGGTTTGACCAGAACTGTCTGCAAACTAGGGCCAATTCCCATGTTACTTTCTTAATAAGGAAATGCCTTTCATGAAGCCCAGTTCTGCCTGTGCTGGCCTTGATAACCCTTGCCTCACCCTGAATTTTTCACAAGGATTGGAAATTCTGAATATACAATACACACGTTTGATGGTTGAAATATTTGTTGAAAAGAATGTTAAATTTAGGGATGGGCACAAACTCAAAAATTCCGATGTAGTTCAGGATAGTTCCCGAACCAAGGCAAACCAAAAATGCCCCAAACCAGCCTGTTCAGGCACCCTTTCTCCCACCCATGGCAAGCTGCGTCCAGGAGAAGGGGGGAAATCACCCAGGAAGAGTTAAATAGCTGCCAGCAATTTCAGTGGTCCATTTCACTTCCCCTTGCTTCTAAGTGGGGGGAAGTGAAACCCACTGGTGAAATGGCTGGGAGCCATTCCAGCCTAACAGCAGCCATTTCAGCAGTCTGCTTCGCTTCCCCCCACTTCGAGGTGGGGGGAAGCAAAACCAATCGGTGAAATGGCTCGCAGCCATTTAAACCTAACAGGTCAGCTGTTAGGTTTAAATGGCCCAAACAGCTGAACCAGACAAGAGTCCAGTAAATGTTCGGGGAAGGTGCCTTCCCTGAACATCAGTTCGGGGGCTCCAAACTGGGCCAAGTTCATGACGAATTTTGTCTTGTGAACCAGTTTATGTCTATCCCTAGTAAAATTTGGCCTTATCTTAAACCATTAAATTTCACTGTAGTGAATCGACTGAAAATAACTTGGATTTTAGTTCTCCCCCTCCCTTTCTAATGATATACCCTATCGGCAGTTTTCAGATTACATTCCAGGTAGCCCCTGAAGTTCCTCTGACCTAACTTTCACTGAAGTTGTAAATGTCTGTCTGCTTTGGGCTATTTCAGGCTGTAGGTGAAGGCTGACATGACGAAGTGCTTCTCCATCCATATAATCCCTTCCTCATTGAAAACTAGGATGCCCGAGGAAAGGGTTCTACCTTAGCCTGATCCCCTGAGTGCTGATTTCCTGTGCATTGGCTACATTCCTGTTTTGTGAGTCTCCCCACCTGTACTGTCGAATGGTACAGCTCCAGCACAGGTGATAACGAAGGCAGTGGGGGCTACACCTCAGAAAGGGAACTTCCTTCTTCCATTTCCCATATTCCTATGCAATATGCAGCCACAGGGGGAGAGCGAGCGAGCAGCACTTCCGTGTTCTAGAACATTCCCCATGCCCTCCGACAGTCCCCATTTTCCCGGGATAGTTCTGATATTATTACCTCTGCTGTGGCTACATCATCAACCTCCAAAACGTCCCAGTTTTGTTACACTCCTCACAACTAAATTGTCACCCACTGAAGCTTCAGCTTGTCAGCAAATCGAGTGGGGCTGCAGAAGTCACCCCTTGTCCTGCACGGTGTGTCCATCTTGCTTGTTCCTTTTCAGCCCAGCTAAGAAGACGACTATGGCCTAGGGGACTATGCAACTGGTGTGCATGCTCGACAGCCTCTTCTGGGGTTCTTGCAAGCAACAGCCGCAAGTTTTTGCGCCGTTTCCTGCTAGGATGCACCAGAGGAGTCAGGGCAACGTTGCCCATCAAAGAATCCCAGCCGGAACCTGGTCGACTGAACTGTCACCTCTGCAATATTGTCACACTATAAATAATGATGGTGATGATTTATACATTGAAGGAAGGCAAGGCTGATGCTTTGCAGGTGGACTTAAAGCTTTCCTCCCCGATATTTCACAATCATCCCTACCTCCCAGCTGGGCCTACCTTTAAAGAAAGCACAGAAGAGAAAGGGAATTAGAACAAGTAATCTCACTTCAGCAAACTGGATCTCCAACCTAGGGTTGCCGGATATGCACCTGGTAATGGGAGGGGGGCGCGATGTGATAATGTCACTTCCAGGTAAAGACCCAGAAGTGATGTCACCATGCTGAGCAACGCTCTAGGAATCCCCCCCCATCTCTATACCATAGAGATGAGGGGAATTAACTAGAGCGCCGTTCAACATGGTGATGTCAGTTTTGGGTCTTCATCAGGAACTGATGTTACTGTGTCATGCAACATCATTTTTTTGCTTCTCTCATTTTTGCTTCCAATGTTCCATGGAGTGGCAGCAGAGGCTTAGGAGCACAGGGGCGGGAGGTTGACTATTATGGTGGGCAGCCTGGCTTCCTTACTCCCACCTGTTATTGTACCATATGGGGAGGGGGAAGTAGCAGAGCAGAAAGAATGGGAACAAGTAAAAATTTTCTGGGCTCCATGAAAAAAACAAGCAATTTTAGCAGAACGGGACTCTCAGAGTCTTAACTGCGTGATACACGTCTCCTAGGTACATCCCCAGTCCAGTTGACAGATGTGTTCCAGGAGTGTTGAGTTTCTTATTTAATTTATGTACGTCATTTATAGTCCACATTTCCCGCTTGGACTCAAGGCAGATGACGCAGAATGAGTCCATACAATCGACAGGATGGGTATCCAATGAACAGTGCAATAGGATTAGGGTTGTAGAACCCATCAGAAGCCTAGAAACAGAACTGAAGCAAAGCATAAATGTTGTACATATTAGATTCCATGTCAAAAATGAAGTCAAATGAGGAGGAAGATCTATGTTTTATTTCAATTAACAGAAAAACCATTGGACCAAATAGTCCATCCAAAAATGACTACTTTCTTCTCAGCATATTCAGGAAATATGCTTCAATGAACAGGAAAACAATTAGACCAAATAACTCATCAAAAATTGACAACTTTCTCCTTTTTCTTCTTCATCTTCTTGAACATATTCTGAACATATTCAGGAAATACATGATATTTTATACATGGACTGACATTACCAAGAAAACAATATTCAAACAGCATAACTGGTTACAAAAGACAGTGGTAATTTGAGTAATAATCCTCTGATTGGCCAGATATAAAGAAACATATCTACGTCAAACTAAGTGTTTACTTAACCTAACCTAAATGATAATGGGCAAGGATTCTTCATACGAGACTAAAATCTTATCTGACCCAGACATTGAAATGTTTGCCCTAAGAACTACGGAATCATGAACTTTGTACCTATTATGTTGTCTGCTAACAATATCAGACCTACAAGAGGAAAGCCATCTATATAACAGGCCTTTCTAACATCCTAATAAAATATTACTTAAAGAATAAATCTATAAAAACCAGAGAAATATGAATATGAACAATAAAGAAGGAAAAAACTTATATATAAAAATCTTTATATTCCCATTCATACTACATAAACCTGCATCTTAACACAACACACTAAACGATGCAGAAATCACATAGCAGGATCCTAGTTTCAGAAAGCTCTACGCAAGACATTAAGTGATGCAAAAATTACATAGTAGAGTCCTAACTTCTGTAAGGTAACCATAGACCACAGCCTCTAATAATTTATCTAATTTTGTGAATCATTTAGTACAGTGCAAGTCTATCGTTTGTGTAGAAAAGCCACCTTGAATAATTCAGTTTTGCATAGTTTGCAGAAAGCCAGGAGAGTGGGGGGGGGGGGCCTTCCTGACCTCCTTGGGCAGGCTGTTCCATAAGGTGGGGGTCACGTATGTGCCTGTGGGTCCAATTTGAAAGTGGACGATGGTCAGAGGGGGCTTAAACTCCGCCCCTCCATGCAGTTTTCCATTGCGGAATCTGACTCTTTTCTGTACACATTAAGGTAGTTCCAGGTATACATTAAGTTTCCCTATTGGGACAAATGGCATGTCTCTGGTGCCATTCTGAGTTAGGACAATGGTATGATGTAGGCAGGCTTAAGCCCCCCCCCCCAAGTCCCAGTCCGAATCAGGGTTGCTCTGTCTTTGGGAAGCATGGAAATCCCCGACCACATCTGTCAATCTGACCCAGGGACCTACCAGGGAAAAGTGTATTGTGTAGGCCTTCAGTGGTAGAGTCCCTGCTTTTCTTACAGAAGGTTCCGGGTTCAGTCCCTGGCACCTCCTGCTAGTAGGAGGGAAAGACCTCTGTGTGTCTGTTGTGAGGTGTTCAAAGAAAAATTGGGTAACAGAATGCCAACCCTTTTAAATGAATTCTGTACAAGAATGGCTGGGAAGTGGGACTCCAGGTAGTGGAGGGTAGCTGTT